CTGTTGTTATTTTAGAAACATAGAAACATAGAATGTGACGGCAGATAAGAACCATTCGGCCCATCTAGTCTGCCCAATTTTCTAAAAACTTTCATTAGTCCCTAGCCTTATCTTATAGTTAGGATAGCCTTATGCCTATCCCACGCATGCTTAAACTCCTTTACTGTGTTAACCTCTACCACTTCAGCTGGAAGGCTATTCCATGCATCCACTACCCTCTCAGTAAAGTAATACTTCCTGATATTATTTTTAAACCTTTGTCCCTCTAATTTAAGACTATGTCCTCTTGTTGTGGTAGTTTTTCTTCTTTTAAATATAGTCTCCTCCTTTACTGTGTTGATTCCCTTTATATATTTAAATGTTTCTATCATATCCCCCCTGTCTCGTCTTTCCTCCAAGCTATACATGTTAAGATCCTTTAACCTTTCCTGGTAAGTTTTATCCCGCAATCCATGAACCAGTTTAGTAGCCCTTCTCTGAACCCTCTCTAAGGTATCAATATCCTTCTGAAGATAAGGTCTCCAGTACTGTGTACAATACTCCAAGTGAGGTCTCACCAGTGTTCTGTACAATGGCATGAGCACTTCCCTCTTTCTACTGCTAATACCTCTCCCTATACAACCAAGCATTCTGCTAGCATTTCCTGCTGCTCTATTACATTGTCTGCCTACCTTTAAGTCATCAGAAATAATCACCCCTAAATCCCTTTCCTCATATGTTGAGGTTAGGACTCTATCAAATATTCTGTACTCTGCCCTTGGGTTTTTACGCCCAAGATGCATTATCTTGCACTTATCCACATTAAATGTCAGTTGCCACAATTCTGACCATTTTCTAGTTTACCTAAATCATTTGTCATTTGGCTTATCCCTCCTGGAACATCAACCCTGTTACATATCTTAGTATCATCAGCAAAAAGACATACCTTACCATCAAGACCTTCTGCAATATCACTAATAAAAATATTAAAGAGAATGGGTCCAAGTACAGATCCCTGAGGTACCCCACTGGTGACAAGTCCAAGCTTCAAATATATTCCATTAACTACAACCCTCTGTTGCCTGTCACTCAGCCACTGCCTTACCCATTCAACAATATTTGAATCCAAACGTAAAGATTGCAGTTTATTGATAAGCCTTCTATGTGCAACAGTGTCAAAAGCCTTACTGAAATCTAGGTAAGCAATGTCTACTGCACCACCCTGATCTATAATTTTAGTTACCCAATCAAAAATCAATAAGATTAGTTTGGCATGATCTCCCTGAAGTAAACCCATGTTGTCTCTGATCTTGAAATCCATGTGTTTTTAGATGTTCATCAATCCTATCCTTTAACATGGTTTCCATCACTTTCCCCACTACTGAAGTAAGGCTTACTGGCCTATAGTTGCCCGACTCCTCCCTATTACCTTTCTTGTAAATGGGCACAACATTCGCTAACTTCCAATCTTCTGGGACTACTCCTGTTAACAATGATTGGTTAAATAAATCTGTTAATGGTTTTGCTAGTACACCACTAAGCTCTTTTAATAGCTTTGGGTGTATTCCATCAGGTCCCATTGACTTATTTGTCTTTACTTTTGACAGTTGAAATAGAACCTCTTCCTCTGTAAACTCACGTGTAATAAATGACTCATTTATCCTTTTTCTCAACTGAGGTCCCTTTCCTTCATTTTCTTCTGTAAATACAGAACAAAAATATTCATTGAGGCAGTCAGCCTGACCTTTATCCTCTTCTACATACCTTCCTTCTTTTGTTTTAATCTAACTAATCCTTGTTTTACTTTTCTTTTCTCATTTATGTATCTAAAAATGTTTTATCCCCCTTTTTTACTGACTGTGCTATTTTCTCTTCTGTGTGTGATTTGGAAGCTCTTATAACTTGCTTAGCCTCTTTCTGCCTAATCTTATAGATCATTTTGTCTCCCTCACTCTGGGTTTTTTTATAATTCCTAAATGCTAACTTTTTGTTTTTAACTATTTTGGCCACATCTGCGGAGTACCACAGTGGTTTCTTGAATTTTTTGCTTTTACTGACAAGCCTAATGCAATTTTCTGTTGCCTTCAATAGTGCAACTTTTAAATAATCCCATTTCTCTTGGACTCCATTTAAATTGCTCCAGTCTGATAATGACTCCTCTACCCATATTCTAATTTTAGAAAAGTCTGTTTTTCTAAAGTCTAAAACTTTTGTTTTTGTGTGGTGTGACTCAGTCACTGTTCTTATATTAAACCACACTGACTGATGATCACTGGATCCTAAACTTTCACCTACAGTAATATCTGATACCAAATCTCCATTTGTTAACACTAAATCTAGTATGGCCTCTTTACGAGTTGGCTCCTCAACAACTTGTTTTAGAGACAATCCCAGTAGGGAGTTTAGAATATGTGTGCTCCTGGCACAAGTAGCTAATTTTGTTTTCCAATTTACATCAGGAAGATTAAAGTCACCCATGATGATAACTTCCCCCTTCATTGTCATTTTAGCTATTTCCTCAACTAGTAGATTATCTAACTCTTCAATTTGTCCTGGGGCCTATAAATCACACCTACACGAGTTACTGTGTGATTACCAAATTCTAACGTAGCCCAAACGGACTCTATGTTTGCCTCACTAACTTTTATTAGGCTAGATTTTATGCTATCCTTCACATACAAGGCCACCCCTCCCCCTTTCTTGCCTTCCCTATCTTTCCTATATAAAGAGTACCCTGGTATTGCTATGTCCCAGTCATTTTTCTCATTGTACCATGTCTCAGTAACAGCGACTAAATCTACACTATCAGTTGCCATTATTGCCACAAGTTCATGGATCTTATTCCCTAAACTGCGAGCATTTGTAGACATGACTCTAAGCTTATCATTTTTTAACACACTTGCTACAGGCACCTTGTGTCCTTGTTTTGGGGGACAATTGGATTGATGTTTTATCACCCTTTTGCCACCCCCCCTCCTAGTTTAAATACATCCTAGCAAAACCTCTGAACTGCTCACTGAGAACATTTGTTCCCTTTTGAGAAAGATGCAAACCATCTTTTTGTACAGCTTATCTCCATTCCAAACAGAGCTACCATGAGAAATAAAGCCAAATCCTTGCTCCCGACACCATTCACCAAGCCACAAATTAAAGTCCCTAATACGCATCCGCCTGTCGTTCTGAGTGTTATGCACAGGCAGAACTTCAGAGAATGACAGTGTGGAAGCAACCTGCCGTATATCATTGGCAAAAACACTAAAAACTTCCTTAACCTCTGAAACCTCATTGCAAGCCAAGTCATTTGTCCCTAGATGGACAAGTACATCCAATTCCCCTTCCTGCTTTGCTTGCTTAACAATATTACAGATACGTCTCCTGTCTCTGTGAGCAGTAGCTCCGGGAAGACACCTCACAAGACCTCCATTGTCCATCTCCACACCTCTTATAATGGAATCACCCAACAACAACTGCTTTCTATTAGGCCTCACCATAGTCTCCAAGCCGGTCTCCACAACACCACTAGCCTCATTGCCTCTCTCCACACCACCACTATCCTCAGTGACTCTCTCTACAACACCACTAGCCTCAGTGCCTCTCTCCACAACACCACTAGCCTCAGTGCCTCTCTCCACAACACCACTAGCCTCAGTGCCTCTCTCCACAACACCATTACACTCTGAAAGTGCAGAAAATGAATTATGAAGAGCAACAGACTGTGCAAAATGCCTTTTATCCACAACTCTAAGTCTACCAGATCCTACAGTAATCCATCTGCCTTTCCTAGATGTCTCTGCGGCAGTGGCTTTGCAGCAGTTCCAGTCTGAGTTTCTACACCAGATAATTTACAAATCTCAGACTTCAAAAATACAATCTCCTGCCGCAAGATAGAGAACTGTCTACAGATTAGACAACAACCAAACCTCCAAAAAGTTGAACGTGAAACAAATGCATAGCAATTGTTACACTGAACTAAGCCTGCCATTCCAATTATGAGAATAATTTAAATCTAACAAATCTTAACTTTTTTCTTTATCCTCCTGAATACCTCAGATTACCTCCAGGTTATCTCCAACTACACACTTAGAAACAGCACTTGGAAGTAGCACCAAGCTTTATTAGACAAGCTAATGAGACCAAGCCTTATATAACTCCTTAAATCACCGCCCACTAGGAATGTTTAACACCTGGGTAGGCCTCTGCTTATTTGCAAACAATAGCTAATTAACCAGCAATCAACAGCAAGTAACTAGCTTAATCAAATCAAATGCCTTATAATTACCAACAGGAATTCAAACCTTGGGCAATCAGTAACCTTTTCCTACAGATGAATCTTACCTGTAACAGTAGAAAAGAAAGCTCTTAGCACAACTCTTAGACAGTTGAAGCTTCTGTAAAACTCTCCAGAATATCTCCAACTACACACTTAGAAACAGCACTTGGAAGTAGCACCAAGCTATATTTATTATTATGTTAAGAATAGTCTCAGAGAGAGAGGGAGAGGGACGTGTGCTCATTGGCAGGTGTGCTGGGTGCTTGTGTGAGCAGAACATGTGCATGTGCCAAGGTTCTAACAGTCCCAAATGTTCTCTCTCTGACATTGCTGTGCTGTGATTCTCTGATTGTCAGCTGACTGAAAATGTCTGATGAATTCTGAATGCTTTAGTACAAAAACAGTGGTTCAGGCTCTATTATTGGGAAGATGACATCTAATATGTCATCTAATAACTGAAATCTTATTCTCATTAAAAGTGTCCCCCTGGACAGAATAGGGAAGGGGGAGCATGACTGCTGCCCAGGATAGTGGGATGGTACAATGGTAGCAACAATGTTGCAAAGATGGAAGGATTTATAAGGGGGTAACAGGGGAGGAGACTTACCAGTCAGAAGGAGATTGTCATTACCCTGGTTGAATTTCTCTCACTGACTGTAAAATTTTCTGAAATTTCTTTCCTGTGATTACCTGGGCCTGCAAAATAAACGACAATCTCCTGTTAATTCACTATAAAGGTGTGGGCTTCAATATGGCCACCCCATCTCTGGAAGAATTGGTTAAAATGATGGCAGCTTACCAGGAGTCCCATGGCTCTTTGGACCAGGTGCTGTCCCAAGTCCAGCAGGCTGCAGGAGGACGTCCAGACCGGCGTGAGGGTGATGATTCCTCGCTGAGCGGGCGGAGGGCCAGGAGGTCAAGGCCTCCGTCGCGTTTATCCCCGAGTCCAGTGCGGAGAAGCGGAGGAAGGAGTGTTCCCCGTTCTGAGGGAGGCAGCGGTGAGGCCGGGCGCTTATCAGCGCGAAGAGTAGCCAGTCGGAGACGGAGAAGGGCCGGACAAGTGATGGTGGAGTCCGGGCCCGAAGATGGCGGCGATCTGGATGGCGGGAACCCGGCTGGAAGGTCGCGCAGCCCGCACGCTTCTCTTCCGGCGCGGGTGAGAGGGACGTCATCACGCACGCAAGCCGACGTGCGTGCAATGTCGGACGTCATGACGCCGCGGCGCGCATGCGCGCGGCCGACCCGGGCTGGAGCCGGAAGTTCCTCTGCGGTGCAGGAGCACCGTGCTCAAGTGCAATAAGGACCGCAGAAGTGCGCACCCGGCACCTGCGGGTCCCAGCAGCGGGAAGCAGATGGCAGCAGCACTCACTCCGGATCTGAAGATGTGGATGAAGAAGCAGTGTTCCCCAGTGGGTCCGGTCTGCCTCCTGCAGCATCAGCGCGTGAGTATTGCGCTAGCGCTTGGGATGCGCTGGCTGGGGATGATAGGGGGCAGAGTTCACAGGTGCTAGGGGAGTTAGGGAACAAAAGGGATTTAAGCAGAGTTGATTTACTTAGACAAGGTGATTTAGTGAGTCAAGGGGGGTTTAGTAGCACTGGGGAGCTAGTTAATTTATTGCGGTCTGTTTTGGAGCGGTTGCCTAGCGATGTCCCCCCTTCTAATCGGATAGATATGCGGTCTGCGTCGCAGATTCCTGTTAGGGACAGGGTTTCGAGCATTTTGCGTCCACGGTTGCCGGGCTGTGAGCTATCCCCGTTGGGCTTGCATGTCGCAGCAGACGTCAGAGACAAAATAGTCCGAGGTGAGTATGTCGACTTCCTGGCGCTGGTTCCGCCGGACAGGGAGTCGGTGGATAGACCGCGGCGAGGAGAGATGGGTGACGGAGAAAAAGGTAAGCAGCTTCCTCGCACTTTTGGGAATTGGCTGCAGGGTTTTTCGATTTTTGCGAGCATATTCACGGGTAGTTTTCCGGATAAGGCTCCCTCATTGTTTTGTTATTTGGATCTCATTTGGGGGGCGTACAAGATTTATGGGGGGCAATGCTGGTACCGATATGACCAGCAATTTCGGCAGAAGATGGCGGTTAGCGAGGGCATGGATTTTAGTGTACAGGATGGCAGCTTATGGCTGCTGCTGATGACGCCTTGCCGGCCCTCCCCCTTTCCAGGGACAGCCGGCGCGCTGGCTAGTGCGCCAGCAGGGCAGCGCAGGGGAGTCTGTTGGCTCTTTAATGAGTCCCACTGTAAGTGGTACAACTCATGCAGGTTCCGGCATGAGTGTTCGCACTGTGGCGGAGCACACCCCGCCCTACGCTGTTTCAAGAAAGGTAAGGCAGGGGTGCGCCCCAAAGACGACGTTCCTAGACGGGAGGACGCCAGTGAGCGTCGAAAGGATGCGCCCGTGGCTAGACTGGTATCCTAAACGGCGAGAAGCCGGTGTTTTATTGGACCGGTTTTTATTTGGTTTTTGGATTCCGTTTGTTTTTTCTGAGGCGCAGTCGTTTGCGGTCAATTTACGTTCGGTTTTGGGTAAGGAGGCTATTCTTGAGCAGAAATTGTACAGGGAGGTGGCCTTAGGCCGCATGGCGGGACCGTTTTCTGAGCCCCCATTTCCTAACTTGCGAGTGTCCCCCCTGGGCTTGGTCCCTAAGAAAGAGCCTGGGGTCTTCCGTCTCATTCACCACCTGTCCTACCCAGCAGGCGGGTCGGTGAATGATGATATTGATAAAGAAGTGTCAAGGGTGCGTTATGCTTCCTTTGACAGGGCCCTGGAGTTAGTGAGAGACGCAGGGTCGGGGGCATTGCTTGCAAAATCGGACATCGAGTCGGCTTTTCATTTGCTTCCGGTTCACCCGGACTGTTTCCACCTTCTGGGTTGTCAGTTTAATGGTTTGTTCTATTATGATATGTGTTTGCCCATGGGGTGTGCCATATCCTGCTCCTATTTCGAGATGTTTGCAACATTCTTGGAATGGGTCGTGTCTCAGGTGTCGGGTTTGTCCTAGTTGACCCACTACCTGCATGATTTTTTGTTTGTCGGGTTTGGTGATTGCAACGACTGTGCGGTTTTGTTGTCGGCATTTCGGCAGATTACATCAGAATTTGGAGTCCCGGTGGCGATAGACAAGACATTCGGACCGGTGGGTAAGTTGTCTTACTTAGGGATCGAGATTGACTCTGGTGAGATGGTCTTTCGATTACCAGAAGAGAAGCTGGGTCGGTTACTCTGCCTGATTGACCGAGTCAAGGGCTCAAAGAAAGTTCAGCTGCAGCTAATGCAATCGCTTTTGGGTCATCTGAACTTTGCTTGCCGGGTTTTGTCTATGGGCCGAGCGTTCTGTCGTCGCTTGTCCCTGGCTACGGTGGGGGTTAAACAGCCATTTCACTTTATCCGGATTACAAGTAGACTGCGGTCGGACTTACAGGTGTGGAGCGCCTTTTTAGGTACGTACAATGGTCATTCTTGTTGGTTGCGCTCGGAGGTGTCGAACGGTGAATTGGACCTGTTTACTGACGCATCGGGGTCCATAGGGTTTGGAGCCTATTTTCGGGGACAGTGGTGCGCAGCGGAGTGGCCGTCCACCTGGCGAGGTTCGGAGCTGATGGGTAACCTGGCGTTTCTTGAATTGTTTCCCATTGTGGTTGCTGTAGAATTATGGGGTTCGGGCTTGGCGCACAGGAAGGTGATTGTTCACACGGACAACATGAGTGTGGTCCAGGTGATCAATCGTTCCACGTCTGGGTCCCCTCCGGTTTTGGCATTGCTCATGCGTCTAGTGCTACTCTGTCTTCAATGTAATTTGTGGTTGGTCGCCAGGCATGTTCCGGGGGTGGACAATGTCATTGCTGACTCTCTTTCTCGGTTTCAGTGGGACCGTTTTCGGGAGGCGGCTCCGGAGGCGGCTCCGACGGGAACCCCGTGTCCACCTTACTTGTGGGACCTGGTTTTGGACATCTGAGGCGATTGATCCGAGGGTCCTTATCGGAGTCTTCGTGGAAGGCATACTCCACGGTATGGGATCGCTGGTGGGCCATGGGTAGGAACGGGGATGTGGCGTCAGACTCCGGCAGATTGACCCTTACGCTGTCGTTACTGGAATCTTTGTGTGCCGGAGGTAGGTCGTCTGCAGCAGCTGAGCAATCGCTGGCTGCTCTCTCTTTTTTATTTCGTTTTTTTGGATGGTCGGATCTCACCAAGGCTTTCTGCGTTTCCCGTATTTTGAAAGGGTGGAAAAAGCGCCGCGTTCCTGACAAACGGCGACCGATCTCGGGGGACATGCTGTTCCAGCTGTTGGAAGTTCTCCCGGATGTGTGTAGCTCTGCGTATGAGGTACTTTTGTTTTGGGTGGCATTCTCCTTGTGCTTCTTTGGGGCGCTGCGTATCGGTGAGCTGGTGGCCCCCAGGGTGAGTTCAGTGTCACCCCTTAGGCTTTCCGACGTATCAGTGACACCAGAGTGCGTTACCCTGTTGATAAGTCGGTCCAAGACGGATCAAGCGGGTACGGGAGCGAGAGTCCGTATAGGGCTCACTGGGGGTGTATTTTGTCCGGGGTACTTGTTGCGGGCATACTTGGGCGCCAGGGGCGGCGCTGAAGGCTCGCTGCTGGTCCATTCTAATGGGGCCTCCCTGAGCCGTTTTCAATTTGCGAGCCTCTTGTGGAGTTGTATTGTTAGATTGGGGGGGGACCCCAGGTTATACTCCACACATTCATTTAGGATTGGAGCGGCAACACAGGCGAGCGAACTGGGTTTTCCGAAGGAGGCGCTTATGCGGCTGGGGCGCTGGGAGTCGGGGCGATTTTAGCTTTACGTGCGCCCTCATTTGCTGTGATGGTATGCATCTGTAAACAATTAAGCTTAACCGTTATTCCTTGTTTTGTAGGCCAAGTTCCTCGTTATGTGTGGATCCTGGGGCATTCTTATATTTACTGGGCAGCTAGGAGGGCGGAAGCAAGATCTCATGGCCGGAATTTGGGGTTCCCGTTTCAGGACGTTAGGGTACGTTGGCGGGGATTGAAGGGGTTACGTTGGGATCAAGTGTACGGCGAGTGCGAGCAGCTGAGTGGGAATGATGTTGGCCGACGGCGGTCGGTGGATCTCATTCACGACATGCGTCATGATCTAGCGCGCTGTTTTGCGCTTTTTCGTGACTTGACGTTGATTTGGTCAGAGATAGTGCCCCGGCCAGTGTGGCAAGTGGGTGGTTATGGGAAGGCGTTTGAACGCTGTAGGCGCAAGATTAATGTTGCTATTTCGCGCTTTGTTTGTAGTTTGGGCGGAAGGGGACTTTGAGTTGGAGGGGAATAATTCAGATGTGATGCGTCCGGATGGGGTTCATTTGAATCCCATTGGGCTGGACATTTTTAATGTGGGGCTGCAGTCAGGCATTGAGATGGCGCTGTCTGCGGGGGGGGGGGCGCGAAGCCGGCGCAGATCAGGCTGCGGCAGGTCGGCTTTGCGGTGGCGGTTTTCCCTGGACAGCGGAATCGAAAAGGAAAGGACTATGACGCAAGGTCACATTGGGGAGACGACAGTCGGCGCAAGGCTGATGGCTAGCGACAGCTGTGTTGGGCTCATGGACAACAAAGGAGGTGAACTGCCTCTTGGGTCCTCACCCAACAGCTGGCAGGAATTAACAATTAAGTTTACTGTTTAATAAAGCTGTGGCCGTTGCCCTTATCCACTAAAAGGTGTCCAGTGTATTATTTGGGGGCAACAGTGGGGATGGAATATGGGTCAGCAGTCAAGTGTCCCCTTGGACAGAATAGGGAAGGCGGAGCATGACTGCTGCCCAGGATAGTGGGATGGTACAATGGTAGCAACAATGTTGCAAAGATGGAAGGATTTATAAGGGGATAGCAGGGGAGGAGACTTACCAGTCAGAAGGAGATTGTCATTACCCTGGTTGAATTTCCCACCCTCCCTCCCTGGTTTTTTGTTTGTTTGTGGTGTTGGTGGTTTTCGTGTTGTTTTTTCTCATTGTCACAGCTGACGGTTTTCCCTGGACAGCGGAATCGAAAAGGAAAGGACTATGACGAAAGGTCACATTGGGGAGACGACAGTCGGCGCAAGGCTGATGGCTAGCGACGGCTGTGTTGGGCTCATGGACAACAAAGGAGGTGAACTGCCTGTTGGGTCCTCACCCAACAGCTGGCAGGAATTAACAATTAAGTTTACTGTTTAATAAAGCTGTGGCCATTGCCCTTATCCACTAAAAGGTGTCCAGTGTATTATTTGGGGGCAACGGTGGGGATGGAATATGGGTCAGTAGTCATGTCAGACAAAGGCATGTCCAACATA